CCCCCCCCCCCCTCCCCCCCTCACCCGAGTTTGTGCAAGCACCCAAACCGACCATGATCATGTCTACCCAAATCCACACACACACACAAAAACGACAAGACTTCGGCAAGTAAATGCACTTAAGGAAACTCAAACATTAAGGTTCTGGCGCCAAGGTAATGGGGTTGATTGCTCTAGTTCGCGGTGTCGGGCGGGCGTCCAAGTCCAAACCGAAAACCACTGCGATTTAAAGAATCCTTATGTCCCTAAGCCTGTACATCGTTACCGACACCCTCCCTACTTCCGGCTGCCTCCTTGCAAATGGCATCCCAGGAATCGCAGATCCTCTCGACCTGCATCGGGGCGCCGCGAACGAGCCTCTCCCATCCTGCCCTTCTCAACCGCCGCGGCAACTTGGTTTGCTGTTGGACCACTCGCGTTTGGGTGCTTTGTTCGTCTTTCTGGACACCTCCACATCGGCAGCAAACACACCCGGGAGAGGGGACAGTCTTGTGAAAACGTGTTGGACTGAGAGCTTGGGTTCAAGGTTTCAGGCAATTCGGATGTCGACCATTGCGACACGAGCTCTGGCAAGCGACTGTTCCAAGCCTGCCCGTCTTCGGCAAAGTCTGCGTTGGTGATGCGGATCATGAACCTGATCAACAACTCCATCCGCACATCACTATAATCACTGCCGACGGATCTCGGTGGAGCCTCGCACAAGTGCTGGTAGGACGTGGCACATACGACTGACAAAATGACTCCCATCACAACATATTGCCTCGATGACTGCATGTAGCTACTGGAGGAGGCTTTGGCGCCAGCACCGTGAGCATTAAAAACCCCTGACATTTGGGGCATCGGCTCTGCCGGGTTGACCCCGGACGGGCTCGGAAACCTGGCGGGAACACTGAAGTGCCGTTTGTAGCCAGGGTTCTCATAAGGCTTTGGGCAGTTTAAAAAGGGTTTGGCATTTTGGGCTTGGGTCTAGGGCCTAGCCGCTGGAGGCTCCCGCTCAGGGTTTTGAGTTAGAGGTGATCTGGTGAAGAGAACTCCGACACAATGCGCACGTTTCAGTTTGCGACCCGAGATTTCAATAGGCTTCCCCTTCGCTCACGGGCGTGAACTGAGAGAAGAGAGGAACCGAGTAACCGCCCTCGCCCCGTTTCGACACCGCAAAGGCATTTCTGTCAAACAAGAATCACGACCAGCTTCATCCTGCACGAGTTGCCTTGGAATCTGATGTATCGTGATCTGACTTTACAGGAAACTCTGAAAGATACGACTCAAAACTTGCCAACTGCTTGACGCCTGGCAGATTTCTCCATTGCTGACGACTCAAACTATGGCAGCCACGGCACTAAGGCTGAGAGAGACTACCGGCAACATCCAAAGCACGAGTAGGGGAAGTTTCTGAATCGGATCTTCCATCTGACGGAATGCCCTCGGACTCATGCGCACACAGACACACACTGAGTGCACGAGACATGCTAGACTAGACTCACGTCTGGTGACCATCCCAAGCTTCTGTCTATGAAGCTCGAAGTGCTCATGCAACACTGGATGTGGTGCTTAAACTGAATACGACGTCCCAGCGCAGCTTGAAGTCGGTGGGGATTCTTTCTACTGTGAGCATCTGAACACCACCGTGAGCTGTGAATCTGGAGAACTGTAGCAGAAAAAACTGCTGGCGCAAAGGGCCAGATGGACCCGATGTCCTGGAACTGCTGGAGAGCTGCATCTGCTTTTCCTGCCACGAGCAGCGCACGTGACTTATGGTTTTAATGCCGCTTTGTGCTGCTCTTGTTCTGCGAAGACAGGAAATGCCAGCTGGAGGGGACTTCCTTGCCATCGGAAGGGCGAATGCACAGAAGTCGGGAAAGCTGTCGAAATGACACATCCGGTAATTCGCAGCGCGAGCAGGCAAGATGCCTTCGGTCCGATGCAACGTCAACAACACCCATCCGAGCCCAACCGAAGAAAGACGGACACACTACGTATGTTAAGACCTCAAACTACCTATCACCCTTCAAGCGGCAAGGTGGTTGAAAGCCTCGGCTAGAAATAACCGAAATCTGTGCAAAATAGCCGCCCCAAATGGCATTTCATTCCCCGACTCTGGCCCTGGCCGAAGTAGCACACCCTGCCCTTGGCCAGGACGAGAAGCTTGTCGAACCTTCTTGATGCATTGAAGGCACCGGCAGGATGCTTGGAACACTTCTGGCTCTCTGGAGGGGTCGGGCTCATGAATCATGGATTCTGGCCTCGGTGATCGGAGTGTCTGCTTCACCATAATAAAGCTGTCACGGGGCTTGTTGCAGAGGTGTGATCATGCGCCCAAGTGCCTCTTCCGAAACCTTCTGCGGTCGTAGCAACCGACTCTTTCCGTGGTGCGTCCAAAGCCTTTTCCCAACCCCCATGCCGCGCAAGGACGGTTTGGCCACTTAGTCATGCACGGACGAGCCAGGCGACGTTCGGGCAGACTCCGGCAGACTCCACATCACAACAAACAACAGAACACCAGTGTCGCTCGTATGGATTTCTGAATCGTGTTCAAAACGAAACATTGGAAGTTGAGGGCTGCACTGGTGGAAAACGTAGGAGGATGGCTGATGAATGGTACCTCGGCGAGCACTCTGTACGGCACTCCAGGGCGACGTGCTCATGTGTTCAAAACCGACTCCTTCGCTGTGTGACGACAGCTGGTCGTTGCGACAAAGAGCACGCTGGGCTCGACGGTGCAGAATGGGAGAACTAGATTGGGTCGAGGTTGGGCTGACTCTTCGTGCTAGGGGCTTGGCCGTTCAGCGTCTGGGATGGGCAGCTTGCTTTCGTGTGCAGGGGTGAAGGCTTGATCTCAAACTTCAGGCAGGGCCCGTCGACATGAACCAAAATCTGCTCACAAAGAAGACGCCTGCGTCGTGCATCCTGCAATGAACCCTCCAAAGTAGCGAAATCCCGTCATGTTGGATCTGGACGAAATAACTTGACTCGTAATTGACGATGCTGGAGTCTGTGGGGCCGGCAAAGGGCCGCTAAGTTGTTGGCGACCGCAATGCCAGTGAGAAGCTCAACAATTGCCTCATCGCAAATCACAGAGATGTAAACACTCAGCCGAAATATATACAATCGCAAACATTTTTTGCATGTATACATGTACATAAAGGTGCAGATTTATATACACGTATATATATATATATATATATGTGTGTGTGTGTGTTTGTCTATCATGACAGCATGACAGCGTGTGCATACATACATACATACATACATACATACATACATAAATAAATGAATACATATGTATCTTTTACTTATTCATGTGTTCGTTTATTTGGTTGCGCGTGTGAATGCACTTGCCCGGAGACCACTCTTTTAATCATTACAAGATGCATACCACTACGATAGCACTCACCCGAACACGAAAACATCATTGCCTGCTAACATCCCGAATCCCTAAGCCCGAAAGACCCGAAAATCTTCTGCTAAAACCACCCCGGCCCAACGCGAGTTCAAAGGTTCCCTCCCCCTTTGTTCCTCCCCCCTCCCCCCTCTTACTCGAACTTCTTTCCTACGGCTCGCAGCTCCGGTGGGCGCTGTATGCTTATGTTCTTGCGGCTCCAGCGGCCTGTCTAAGGCCCTAGCACGGTCAGCTCACTGTTCATTGTCAGTAGATGCTTCAGCTTCACACCCCTTTGTTCTCATGGTCTGCAGCTTGTCCGCGGAACGAATCAAGGCTATAGCTGACAAGTTTGAAGCTCGCATCCCACTTCTGCTGATCTCAACGGCACAATTCAAACTGGCACAAGCGCAGCAGTCAGGTTTGCTTGTTGCCCTGCTCCCAGATCTGCCGGAGCGACAAACAAAAAGCTAAGATCATCAAGCCACCAAAGCAGATTGTGCCCTTGTCGCTTTCACCTTGTTGCCTCCGAAACCAAACAGTCCGCTGCAAAGCTCCGTTTTGGCTGCCGATATGGAAGTGCGCAAGGTAGAGAAGTCCATGCATCAGCCAGCTGTGTCGTTCAGGAGCAGAAGTTTTCGACTGATGACACCACGACTAGCAAAGCAGAAGACCCACCCCACTTGCGCTGGCTGCGACTGCTCGGCAGAAAGCAGCCGCAAATTCATGTGAATCCCAAAGCTTAAAGCCCTGGCATCCCTGCAGGATACCCCATTGCCTCAAGGTATGGCACTGCCCGTAGCAGCCGGCGCGAGCGTCAGCACAGCTCTCACACCCGTTAGCAATGAGACTGCAGCTTCTTCCTGTGCATCCGAAATGCCTTTTGGCAGGAAGGCTCCCGACAACCACCAGCCAGCAACAAAGCCCGGGCCAGCAGAGCGAGCGACTGCACCTCCACATCTGTTAACTGCAAAAGAACGTCCCTCTGCACGATGAGGCCACCAGCCTTGCACGTCCGGCTCCCGGCTCGAAACCAAGCGGGAGCTGGGGTCAATCCAGACAGTTCTCAAATTCGTTCCTCAGGCACTGCCCGCTTCACCCTCCGGACTCCACGGGAAGGATCGTCGCTTGGATTTGCTTCAGAAGGTACGAGCACTAGGTGGATCATCAAATCGCCTGCCATCTCCAGGCGGCTGCTTTGCGGAGCAGCCGGTTCAACATTGAAGACGATCGCACCTTTGAGGCGGCCCCTTGAAGGACTGTGGAGTCGATTAAGATGACCACCCGAGAACAGTGCTGTCTCCGCGAACGTAGAATCCAACGAAGGAGCAGCACCAAAGCCTCTGCCTCCAGACCGTTGATGTGCCCGGAATGGCGCCTTCGCACACTGAAAATCTGCGAAAAAGAATCCATCGATAGATTCAACTTGTGCGGGTTGCCCAACCGACAGCGCAACTTGCTGGCTGAGATGCCCCCATCAAGCACCACAAAGTCGCCCTGCTTTTCTGCCAAACGAGCGATTCGACGAACCTCTTGCACATTCAGGTTGGCGACGGCCGCCCCGAAGCCAAACTCCGTGCTGGCATCAGAAGCGATTATCCGCGGCAGAAAAGGTCGTGTGAGGTCGGCTTTCCAAAACACACCAAGCAACACTCCTATCAGGAGTTCACAAAAGACGATGGCAGGCATAGCCTGTACAGAAGTGTCTTCCGCTTCCCGAACGAAAGTGTAAGCTGCCTCGTACACTGCCAGCTTAGGCCGACGAAGCAAGTCATACCACTGTATCGTGCTGAGCAGCACATGAACTGCTTTCGGTGAATGCCAGTGCGAAGAACAGAGGAACAGGAAGGCAACGACCATTGCCAGACAGCGACCAGCAGGGACACCGAGCTGATTTCCGTGCTCAAGAGCCACTCCTACGCAAATCGCCTCAAGCTCGTCATCGACATCTGTAGCTAGGTTTTTAAGACTCCCTCCTCGCACAGGCACACTGCGAAGTTGTTCCTTCCTCACCATTGCTGAAGATCATCACGTCATCGGTCGCTGCTGCAAAACAAACTCCGAATCCTTCTGGTGTGGGTGCATCGCAAGACAGCACGAGGTCGTCTGACAATCCTGCTTTGTGGCAGAGGTTGAGGGGTTTCTCTTGCGCAACGAAGCTTGACCATGAAAACCCCATAGGCCAAACACGGCTGACCGGGAAAAGCTGCAAGCCCTCCACACTGTCGAGTGGATCACGGCCAAAGACATGCCACACTTCAAGCGCTCATCTACCGTCACAGGAGGGCGCCCCATCCACGACTGCAAAGCCTCCGGAAGGGCCAGCTGATCGAACCAACACCTGGCATCGCGCTTGCTAACTCTGCTTGGCTCGGCATCGGTGGCTTCCAAGTGCAAAAGCGCGGTGGGCGAAGCCAGATGACGTGGTTTGGGTGGCTGGGCAGCAGCCTGCGACACGCATTGGCTGTGCCAGACCTCGCGCTGTCTATTGGAGCCTGGCCTGCCAACTGCAAGGACAGTGCCACCACCACGAACTGCCGTCGCCAAGCCGACTTTGCCAGAGAGCAGCTGCTTGCAAACCAGCTTAACATACTCGCTGCGCTCGCCCGAAGAAAAATCATCGAAGCCAGGAAGGCCACCAGGAGCTGCGCCGAACATTCTGCTTCCATCTGTGACGCTACAGCGTTCATCATCTGGCAAGCATGTAAGGGCATCACACCGGCCGGAACACTCCAGTGGTCTGCCAACAGATGGCCATATCTCGCACCTCGCTGCCAGTCAGGAATAAGATGTTCCCAGGAACCAGGCTCCGGTTTTTGAAGTCTGTTCAACAAAACGCAAGTCCTGGACACGACCCGCTCCACGACGTCAGCCTGTGCAGCCGCAAGTGGCCCACAAGAGCCTGTTCCGGGTTTCACACGGTACAAGAAGTTCAAGGCATGAATGACAGCACAGGCAAAAACCTTGAGGATCCTCCATCTCCAGTGCACCATATCTGTGGGTTTCAAAGGCTCCGGAATGGAGGCTTCCAGAGGGAAAATGTCCCTTTGGCGTCGGCGTGTTTGACGACACACCGATCCCGCAAACTGCTTCACAAACTTGGAGAAGGAGCCGGGTAGCTTTGTCGCCAGTCGAGCGAGCCGCAGTAACAACCAAATTCTATCAGCCGGACAAAGCAGGTACTGCTGGTCTCGAGATGTGTACCACGACTGTCGTCTGCTGTGGTTGCGCCTTCGGCTAGCAGGAGACCGGTACTTCATCGGGCTGAGGGATTTACATGGCTGACCACCCCCCCTAGCCGGCACGCACGTGTCGGGCTGCCTGATGGGAGCTTGAAGCCACGATCAGAACAGATCATAGAAGTTGATTCACGCGTAAACATCCAAAAAGAATGCCCTGGCCCTGAAACCCCGAGACTGCAGCCAACTCAAAACCCTAGATCAGCGCGCAAAGCCACAAGCCAGCGTTAAACCGATTCTCACCCACAGCTCCCGCCAAGCCATGCACCAACACGCACTTTACATACATACATGTAGGTACGTCTATATATGTATATATATGTATGTATATACAGACATAGATTGGTATATGTATGTGTGTGTGTAAACAAACAAACAGAAATAGAAAACTAAAAAAAAAATATATATATATATATAAACGCATATTTATCTCTCCCTCTCTCATTGTTACCTATCTATCTGCTCGATTACAGATGCCATGATTTCTTTCCTACCTACCTCCCCACATTCCGACTCAACTACCTGCCTACCTACCTCCATGCCTG